GGGGGGAGGGGGTCTACTGGAGGAGGACCTGGTGCGAGGAAGAGCGGCGCGGGGGGGAGAGGGGCAGTGCGGTAGGGGAAGAGACGGTAAAAGGGAACTGACTCGTCAAACGTGACGTCCTGAGAGGGCTGGATACGGCGCGAGGTGGGGTGGTAAAACTGCCAGCCAGGCGCGTCAGGGGGAAAGCCAAGGAAGACTCAGGGAATGGCGCGGGAGGAGAGCTTGTCCGCGGAAGTATCGCGGACACAGACTCGACCCAGGCTGACGGGCGAACGTGGCCAGGTGACGGCCCGTCCGTGTACATGTGCAGATTGTCACACGCTGACCCCCAGGAGTGGTGCTAGTGACCATCGCATCCTGGAGGGCAGCGGTACTCACCAAGTTCGTAGAGAACGAGGGGAGGTGAAGACCTGAGAGTGAGCCGGACGGAACCGCCGGACACGGGAGAACAGTGGAGGAACGTGCAAGAACTGGGCCCCCCTGAGGGGTCAGCCAGTCTGACAGCAACAGGTGCAGGGAGTGGTGTGACTGTAGTGCTGTAGCGAAAGAAACAGCGGGAAGCACCTGAGTCAAGCGTGAAGGTGTGCAAGGCCTCAGCAGGCGCAGTACCAGGGAGAGCAGACTCACTAGCACCTAGAGCAGAAGCCTCTATACCTGGGTCGGGCGGCACACACAGGTAACAGTCACCCTCAGCACTAACAATCAATGCATACATGGCAGCAAGGATAGTATCATAGTCAAGAGCAAATATATCCACACCCTGCCTAAGCAACTCTAGCCAGCGGGGGAGCTCAACCGCGTCACCAAACTTTGCACGCCAGGCGTCGCTCAGACAAGAGAAGCAGCGGGACTGTGTGTGACCAACTGTCCCGCAAGTCTGACCAGCCCGATCACCTGTGCGAATGACGTACGGGCAGCGAGCAGTACTCTGAGACGCCCCACGCTGAGCGTACCACTCACGAAGCTGCTGGGGCGTAAGGGTCTCGCGCGGACGCCGCTGCAGCTGCATCTGGCCACCGCCAGAAACTCCCCACTGAACAGCTCCACGGCGACTGCCACTACGGCCGCCGCCACCACTCCAACTAGCGTACCACTCACGAAGCTGCTGGGGCGTTAGGGTCTCGCGCGGACGCCGCTGGAGCTGCATCTGGCCACCGCCAGAAACTCCCCACCGAACAGCTCCACCGAGACTGCCACTACGGCCGCCGCCACCACTCCCACTGCTGCCACCGCCGCCGCCACCACTCCCACCGCTACCACGAAGAGACGTCATAGCGGGCAAAGCAAGGAGGCGTGCGACCAGCACGGCAGCACGCAGTGAAGGCAGGGTGGCGAGCAGGCACTAGGGTAGGTCGGGGCGGCGCACGGTTAGGGAAGGGCGGCGCGTGGCCAGAGCAGGGCGGCGCGCTGCAAGTAGGGCGGCGCGCGGGCAGGGGAGGGCGCACGGGCAGGCAAGGGCAGCGTGCGGGCTGCAGAGGGCAGCGCGCGGGCTGCCAGGGCGGACGCGACGGGCAGGGGAAGGGCGGAGCGCGGGCAGCAGGGCGGCGCGCGGGCTGCAGAAGGCGGCGCGCGGGCAGGCAGGGGCGGCGCGCGGCCAGCAGGGAGGCGCGCGGGCTGCAAGGGGGCGGCGCGCGGGCAGAAAAGGGGCGGCGCGCGGGCCCTAGGGTGACGCAACGGGTAGGGCAGGGGCGGCGCGCGGTCCCTAGGGCGACGTGACGGGCAGGGCAGGTCGTCGCGCGGGTCCTAGGGCGACGCGACGGGCAGGGCAGGGCGTCGCGCGGGTCCTAGGGCGACGCGACGGGCAGGGCAGGGCGTCGCGCGGGTCCTAGGGCGACGCGACGGGCAGGGCAGGGCGGCGCGGCAGCCAGCAGGGTGGCGCGCGGGCAGGGCAGGACGGCGCGTCAGCCAGCAGGGCGGCACGCGGGCAGGGCAGGGCAGCGCGGCTGGTGGGGCAGCGCGACGGGCAGGGTAGGGCGCTACGAACAGAGTAACGCACTACAGGCAGGGAACTATTCGGTGGGCCCTAAAAAAAACGGTCCTGCTCTGAAACCATGTCAGAATACTAAGCGAGAATGACTGAACTATAAACAAGGTGGGTACAAGTACTAACCCTAATTGGGTTGTACCCCATATGGGCTACCCCACTACAGCCTACACAACACACAACATAACAGTTTGACAAGCACAAGTGATGAAAATGGTGGATTGTTTTCAAGGGGGTTTCTAGCCTTTTTTTTTTTTTTTTTACATATGCATTTAATGTTATGAAGACTATGGCTTCCCCCACATTCAGTTTCCTCAATGCGATTGTTGTGTGTGACTATCCAAACTTGTCAATTTTGATTTGAAACATTTAGTTGACTTGAAAGGAGAAGGGTGCTGATCATAATTGTAAATGCCCTTCTGAATTCCGAGTGTGTTTTCGCACCGTGTCTTCTCCTGCAAACGAGGAGCATTTCATATGGGAGACATACACTGTATAGGGGTTGGCGAATTCGAGGGCATCACGCAAATTTCCGCAGACAACACTTTTAAACCAATTCTACCCACATGTCTGACATTTAGCTCGAACGTGAATCGGTTTAAATTCATTCGAGCTCACGGTCAATTTCGACTTGTCCAAGGTAAATCGCTGTGGAGAATATGGATAAATTCATTCGCGATCCGCATGGCATGCATTCAAAGCGTAACAACGAATGAAATCCACACCAATATTCAGATAATTTAGCGTGCGAAATTTCGCGGACTCGATGGTGATTGGTCGAAGCTGACTCTCGACGGGATTTTATAGTCCGATACAACAGTTACATTGACATGCGAACTGAGTGGCAGAGTACGATCCCCAACAGGGATCGCTCTGGTGAAATTGGGTACGATTTCGTAACGACCCCGTAACCATGCCGACACAATCATGTAGTTCACTTTCGTGTGCAAACCGAGTTGCAGAGTACGATCCCCAACAGGGATCGCTTTGGGGAAAGTGGGTACGATCTCGTTCTTCATTCCTACTTTCTGACATGCTATCAGAGCAGGTCGACCCTCCCTGGTCGATCCAGTGGATGGGCCCACCTAATGCTTCCGCTGCTGTCCTGCCTATCGCGCGCCCCGGGCGCGCGACGTTTTCTGCCTGCCGCGCGCTCGGGGCGCGCGGCGGTTTTCTGCTGGGCGGCGCGCCCCACCCGCTGGACCCGCGCGACGCCCTGCGGGACCCGCGCGCCGCCCCCGCTGGACCCGCGCGACGCCCTAAGGGACCCGCGCGCTGCCCCGCTGGACCCGCGCGCGCTGCCCCATGGACCCGCGCGCTGCCCCGTCGCCCAGCGCGCCGCCCCAGGGGACCCGCGCGCTGCCCCCGTCGACCCGCGCGTCGCCCCAGGGGACCCGCGCGCGCTGCCTCGTCGACCCGCGCGTCGCCCCAGGGGACCCGCGCGCGCTGCCCCGTGGACCCGCGCGCGCTGCCCTGTGGACCCGCGTGCCGCCCCTTGCCCTCGTGCAGCTGCGGGGCGGCTTCTTCCCCGCCCCGCCCCCCTCCTTCCCCGTCGTCTCTCTGCTGCGCGTGCAGCCGTGGGGGAGGGTATGGGGGTGGCGGGTATGGGGGTGGCGGGTGTGCGTCGTCCCTTGCTCCTCCTCCTCCTCTCTCTCCCACTGCTGCAGCTGCCGCTGAGGGGGGTGGGTGTGTGGGAGCCGAGGGAGTCGCGCTAGGGGGTGCCGTGGGAGTGGAGCTAGGGGTGCACAAGGGGTGTGTGAAAGGGGGGTGGGACAGTTGGGGGAGGTTGAGCGGAGGCAGCCGTCGTGTCGTCAGCAGCTCCAGTAGTCCGGGGCTCTGCTCCGGTAGCCCAGCGAGCCTGCTGCGCCAGTCGCCCGTGGATCCGTTGCTCCTGCCACTCGTCTTAGCCGCGGAGCCAGTTACTCCAGTAGTCCGGGGCGCTGCTCCGGTAGCCGCTGTGCCAGCCACTCCTGTTACCCATGTGTCTGGACCTTCAGCCGTCGCCTCCTATCTCCTCTCCTCTCACAGTCCCGCCTCCTCCTCCTCACTTGCCCTTTGTGAATGCCTCTAGCTTTGCTTGTACTTGTGAACCTGCTCTATGACTGCTTGCTGTGCTGATTATACCCCACTTTGACTATGGGGGTGTGTCAGAATGTGATATTTGTCTAGCCTGCAGTGGGGTACTCTATAGCGAGTATAGCCCAAATTAGGGTTTCCTATATGTACTCAACTGCCTGCTAGTGCAAACCCTCTTCTCTGTTCTCATTCTTCATTCCTACTTTCTGACACATTTATCGCAGGGTGCTTGCAAAGGAGAGGCTGACCGCGGAGCAGCTTTTGAAGGTCCTCATCGTCCCCATGAGTAAGGTCAACGAGGCCAGGGAGAAAGTCCCTCTGAAACCCATGGGTCCTGGCAGACTCACTGGTCTTCTTGGCAAGCAACTCTGCATCTTCCCGCTGTGGTCCAGGTGAGCTCGAATTGTGCTGCTTACTTTGTAGGTTGTGTTTCCTCGAGAAGTGTATTGTGTTTTCGAAAGTATTGACTTATACGTGATGTCTAACCATTCGCCACACTACTCCATGCAGAATCACTGCCGAGCCTGGAGCGCGCTGTAGCCTCTTCGCGCTTGTACGCCCTGACGGTCTGGCGGTAGACCCGAAATGTCCGGTTCAGACGGGACTTCTGCATTTCGACCCCAAGGCAACTAGTCCGACACACAAGCACACAATCCTCGCCGAAAAAGTTGTCGCGTGAGTATCCGTAATTTGATTAGCATCTGTGCCTTTTGCTGATTGGATCGACGCTAACAGAATTCGTCGAGACCACACCTGATGAGCAGTTGGCTGAAGGAGCAGCTCTTGACGGAGTATTCAAGAGGGGAAGCGATATTGACTGGGGAGGCGGAGGAAACGTATCGCAACATTCGAAACCGCATCATTAGCGGGTGAAAGCTCGACAAAACGGCAGTGAGTTAACTGTGCGAATAAGTCAATTTTGTTTCTCGAAAATAGATACATGTTAACACGTTTCGACTTCCGTTTTGTGCAGAAGCTAACTCAATCACTCGGCCAGAGGGAGGTTGGTTCTGGTCTTTACGTGGCATACCAGTCGTGTAAGATGCTCGATAATTTTACGCGATTCTCCAGCAGCAGAAGAGAGAGGAGAAATTCCTCGTGCTAGGAACCCCACAATACCGTCATGATGACATTCTTAAGGATTTCCTCACCACCTTTGGTAAGTATTTTGACAAAGGAGTGGGTGGTGATGATGCGGGTGAGGGGGAGGAGTTGGACAACTTGGAGCAACATGGGCCGGCCGCAGAGGACACAGGTGCCCCGCCCGTGATTGATGCGGAAATAGTCGCGTTGGGGGCCCTGGTTGCTGACGGCGCACGAATCGATCTGGTCAATGCGCGTCAGAGCGACACGGATGGGGAGCCACCTGTTCCAAGGGAGAATGCGCGCGAAATCCTGCGTGGAATGAGGGAGACGCAGCAGAGGGCCGCACAAGAGGAAACCCAGCGTTGCGGATCGGAGACCCTACAGCAGAAGGAGGAGGGGGAGAGGATGGAGGAGGAGCTTGCAGGGGCTTTACAGGCAGTGCACCTTCGGGTCGAGAATGATGAACATGAGGAGGGGCAGGGTTTGGAAATGAGGCAGGGGAGTCTGAATGTCGTTGGCGAATTGGAGGAAGAGGTGCAGATGGCGGAACGCGACAATACCGTGGTGTATCAGAGGCGGGAGGCACGAACAAAGAAGAGGTATGATCAGGGTGGGGAAGCACGCGAGGAGGGGGAGGCAAATTAGAGAGAGGAACAGAAGCGTATGAGGCTCGAGGACGAGAGGTGAGAGGTGCGCGGTTCGGAGGGGGAGAAGGAGAGGGAGGAAAGGGAGCGGACGAGCCTCGAAAAAGAGAGGCGTGTTGAGCTCGAAAAAGAGGAGGCGCGGCAGAGGGAGGAGGAAGAGAGTAAGAGGCTAGAGGAGCCGGTGGAGCGCGAAAAGGAGGAGAAGCGGCAGAGGGAGGAGGAAGAGGGGAAGAGGGAGGAGGTTAGGCGGGCTGAGCGCGAAAAGGAGGAGAAGCGGCAGAGGGAGGAGGAAGAGGGGAAGAGGGAGGAGGATAGGCGGGCTGAGCGCGAAAAGGAGGAGAAGCGGCAGAGGGAGGAGGAAGAGGGGAAGAGGGAGGAGGATAGGCGGGCTGAGCGCGAAAAGGAGGAGAAGCGGCAGAGGGAGGAGGAAGAGGGGAAGAGGGAGGAGGATAGGCGGGCTGAGCGCGAAAAGGAGGAGAAGCGGCAGAGGGAGGAGGAAGAGGGGAAGAGGGAGGAGGATAGGCGGGCTGAGCGCGAAAAGGAGGAGAAGCGGCAGAGGGAGGAGGAAGAGGGGAAGAGGGAGGAGGATAGGCGGGCTGAGCGCGAAAAGGAGGAGAAGCGGGAAGGAGGCGAGGGAGAAGGAGGAGCGGGCGCGGGAAGAGGGTCGAGGACGAGGGGCGAGAGGCGCGCGAAGAGGAGGCGAGGGAGAAGGAGGAGCGGGCGCGGGAAGAGGGTCGAGGACGAGGGGCGAGAGGCGCGCGAAGAGGAGGCGAGGGAGAAGGAGGAGCGGGCGCGGGAAGAGGGTCGAGGACGAGGGGCGAGAGGCGCGCGAAGAGGAGGCGAGGGAGAAGGAGGAGCGGGCGCGGGAAGAGGGTCGAGGACGAGGGGCGAGAGGCGGGTGGGGCGCGAAAGGGAGGAGGCGCCTCAGAAGCAGGAACGGGAAGGGAAGAGAACCGAAAGCGAACGCCGAAGGAAGGAGCTGCAAAGGCTCGAGCGCGAAAGGCAAGTGGCAAGACAGATGGAGGGAGTCGGTGAGCAGAACGGTCCAGAGCGCCAGAGGGATCGACGGGAAGAGCATGAGCGGCGTGAAATGGGGGGCGCTCCGCAGAGGAACGAAAGGCAGAGAGAGGTTGCTGGGTTGGGTGAACAAGGTGCAGGAGGGCAGCGGCGTGGGGATGGAACTCGTCACACGTGCGAGGGCCAGAAGGGCGTGAGGGTCTGTCAAACGCAAGCAGGGCGGGGCGCAGGGGAAGGAGCTCGACAAGTGCTGGTTGGCGACCAGCCAGCCGAGGCGCAGCAGGGGACGACGGTTCGTCGGGCAGTAGAGGTGGGTTTAGCGGGGTTGGGAACTGGGGGACAGATGGAGGAAGTCGGTGAGCATCATGGTCCGGAGTGCCAAAGGGATCGACGGGAGGAGCATGAGCGGCGTGAAATGGGGGGCGCTCCGCAGAGGAACGAAAGGCAGAGAGAGGTTGCTGGGTTGGGTGAACAAGGTGCAGGAGGGCAGCGGCGTGGGGATGGAACTTGTCACACGAGCGAGGGCCAAAGGGGCACGAGGGTCTTTCAAACGCAAGCAGGGCGGGGCGCAGGGGAAGGAGCTCGACAAGTGCTGGTTGGCGACCAGCCAACCGACGCGCAGCAGGGGACGACGGTTCGTCGGGCAGTGGAGGTGGGTTTAGCGGGGTTGGGAACTGGCGGACCGAGACTGGTGATGCAGCGGGAAGGTGGCCGGCGTGATGATCAAACTGCTCGGAACAGGGTTGTCGAGGAAGACCGTATGGGGGTCGAGCAGTCAAGACAAGCTGGTCGGCGAGAGGGTGAAGCGCGTCGAACGCTACATGGTGAGAGAATGGCGGAGGAGCAGGTCTGGCGTGGGGTGGGATGGGGAGTAGGGGGAGCGCGACAAAGGGAGAATCAGCAGAGGCAGGCGGGAGGACGGGTGGAGGAGGAGCTGGAGAGTGCGGCGAGTGCGCTCCCTATGCAGAGGCGCCATCCACGTGCGGCAGAGAATCCTGCTGCGGTGCAGGCAGAGGAATTAGGGTGAATGGGTGGCTGTGGAGAGGCAACTGCAGGGACTGGAGAATGCGGGGCCCCAGGTTTTCGAGGAGACGGAGGGAGGATTTGAGGAGGCCGGTGACCGCATCGCAGCTAGCGGCAGGGTGCATACTACGCCAGAGTTAATGCGGCGTCTGACGTTGGTGGCGAGGACCGTGGCCAGGATTTCGTCGTAGCAAACTGTTCGCTTCAGCGACTGCATGGCCGAGATTCGCCAGTTTGGTTCGCAGATGCAGGGATGGGACTTGCGCTACTTGCAGGACTACGATGATCTAACGCACGAGTACCATGTGCTAAAGGATTCAGTGGTCCGGGAGCGCGACGAGCTCGTCCAATTGCGTACTGCTCTTTCGACTGCAACAGCCGAGGCACGAGCGGCAGCAGCTGATGCAGGTCGAGCAGCTGCTGCAGCGGTTGTGGGAACATTGGAAGAAACGTTTGCGGGGTTTTTCGACACGGTTGCGGAGAGGCTCAAGGGTATGGTGGAGCAGGCGATGGAGGCAGCGTCAAAAGGGGGGAAGCTGGAAGCCACGATGGCGCCCGAGTCCGTGAATCACATAGAAAAGGCTTTCGAAGATAGTGTATACACGGTGTGGGTGGATCTCAAAACTTCGGACGACGCAAACAAGCAGACCTTCAAGGCCCTTCAGAAGGCTCTGGCAGGATTGGTAGCTAAACTGAAAGGGCCACGGGTCGAAATTCCACCTGCTACCAGGGCAGAGGCCACACCTCGAATTTCGCGAACGCTGCTCGAATCAGAGTTTCCGGGGATCCCTATCTCCGCAGCACAATAAGTCATGGAAAGGTTTGCCGCAACCTCTGACGGTGAGGCGAATGAGGAGGGTGAGGCGGGCGCTGGTGTGGCGGATCTCGACTTGTCTGGTCCAGTGAGTACAAACTGGAGAGCGTCGTTGGCCGCGAAGGAGTTGCAGAGAGAAAAGGAGAAGGAGAGTGCGGAAAGGAAGGCTGCCGAGGTTCGGAAGCGGACTGCAATTCAGAGGACGCAAGCGACCATTGCAGAGAAGACGCGGGCAAGGATTGTTGGTAGCAGCGAAAGAGCGGCGGGAAACCGAGCGGCGGATACAGCCGCAGAGCCAAGATGGACGCGGGAAGAGCTTGCAGCTGCGTTCGAAAAGAGGCGGAAAGAGGATGAGCAGGCGAAGGAGGCAGAGCGGGCCGAGAGAGCGGCGCAGAAAAAACGCAAGGCGGAGGACGAGAAGAGGGTTCGTGAGGAGCAGGCGAAGGAGGCAGAGCGGGCCGAGAGAGCGGCGCAGGAAAAACGCAAGGCGGACGAAGTGAAGAGGGTGCGTGAGGAGCAGGCGAAGGAGGCAGAGCGGGCCGAGAGAGCGGCGCAGGAAAAACGCAAGGCGGACGAAGAGAAGAGGGTGCGGGAGGAGCAGGCGAAGGAGGCAGAGCGGGCCGAGAGAGCGGCGGAGGAAAAACGCAAGGCGGACGAAGAGAAGAGGGTGCGGGAGGAGCAGGCGAAGGAGGCAGAGCGGGCCGAGAGAGCGGCGGAGGAAAAACGCAAGAAGGAGGAGGAAGATAAGAGGCTGCGGGAGGAGCAGACAAAGGCATTGAAGGTTGCTGAAGAGAAGCGGGCGGAGGCATTGAAGCGGCAAATGGAGCTCCAGGCAGAGCGTGAGAGGATGCACGCACAGATGGAGAAACTTGCAAAGTTAGAGGAAGTTGCAAAGGAGGAAATGGAGAGGCAACAGGAGGAGTTGGAGGCGCAGAAGAAGAAGATGGAAAAGAAGAGGCAACAGATTGCGGCCACAGATGTGGAGGGGGTAGCAGGGCAGGGGCAGGGAGGAGACGCGATTCTTAGCGTGGTTCCGACGGCGAACCCCAGACAGCCTCTTGAAGTTGTGGATCTCGCAGAAGATGTGGAGTCAATAGATCTGACAGTCCAGGCTGATTCAGAGTCCTAACCGCGCTCAAAGAAACCTCGCAGAGATCAAACAACGCACAACGTCAATGCAGAGCCGGACTCTGAAAATGTTGCAGCTTCAGAGGACGAAGTTGAGGCAGGGCAAGAGAATCCTGAAGCGGTGGAAGATGTCGCGGAAAAGGATACGATAACCAAGCTGGGGTGTTACCAAGCACTTCAAAAAAAGTGGGCTATTTGAACGCTCACAGGTGCGGAAGGATAGGACGATGGAGGTGAGATACTCGTCGGAGCAAACAGTTGGGGGGAAGAAGAGAAACATGGGGAGTTATAAGGAGAAATGGCGCCGTGACTTCACCGTAGCCATCTGCTGGATGGCGTACAATCCGAACACCGACATGCTTCACTACGGGATGGATGCCATAGAAGTTGGGACATTGGATCTCTACTTCGAACTCGCGCGTGAATTGCCGACAGGAGTGTGGAGCGTACTCAACGAAATGGACCTGGACAAGTTTGAAGAGTGAGTTTCTTCGTTTTACGTGTTATTGGTTCGATTGTGCCACTAATGTTCACGCTATTGTTATCCTTTCCACCCCACTTTCGCAGCTTAAAAAATGTCACGGAGAAAATTCGGGCATGCTTGGACCGCGGCGAGCATTGGGAGATCGCGGTTTGCGTGGGGATTGGACATGCCCTCGTCCATGGCAGCACTGCTGCGGAGTCCCCCCCAACTGGCGTAGCATCTCTCTACACCCTGTGGGCAGCTTCGACCGGCATTCCGATACAAGACTGGGCGGAGGGTGCTGCTGCGGCAGCCCGTGGGACACTGGCCCCTCCAAGCCTTGCCAGTCGAGCAGCGTGGATTTCTCGCGTCGGAATCAACGCTCTGGTTTGAGCAAGGGACTACGTGCATGGTCGGAACGAGTGGGATGGGGTTATTACCGAAGTGATTGTCGGCATCCTAGATCCCGAACCCTCGGATGACCCAGAGGTTGTTAGCCTGGCGAAAGTGGTTGCTCGGGTGGTGGTGTACTGGAGCGAGTGCAACTTGGCAGCGGCAGGAATTAAAGCGTTTCAAGGGGGTTTGCTCAACTTTGCCCAGGGCTCACGGGGGCAGAAACGGAAGGCGACTGCAGGAGGGAACGCGAATGCGGGAGGGGAGGCGAATGCAGGAGGGAACGCGAATGCGGGAGGGGAGGCATCTGCAGAAGGGAACGTGAATGCGGGAGGGAACGCGAATGCGGGGGGGAATGTTGGTGCAACCCTACGGTTTGCACTCGGCTTGTTGTCCGTGTGCGTGAATGTGTGTGTGTATGGAATGGTATGAGGGCATGGGATAATATATATTTCATGCTTATAATTGTGTGTGAATGTTGAGTCATGATGTCGAGTGTGTGTGTCGAGTCAATAGCGAGTTATCGCTAGACGCGTGTTACGCGGTCGTTTGTGTCTCGCGCGCGGTTTCTATTTTGTCGTGCGCGGTTTCTATTTTGTCCTGTGTCGAACGTTCGGCGTGTCGCAGGTGTGTGCAGCAGACCCATCAAGAACTCAAGGATGAGTTTGTGATGAAGAGCCCGAGCCTTGGTGTCAAGCCTCAAGTGATTTCGAAGCTTGCCAAAAGGGTACACCTCAAGATATTGAAGATAGTTACATTACTTTGTGTAGTGTAACATTTCACTTGGTGTAGGCCCTAGTGAAGGGTAGTTTCGAGACCCTTCGTGGTTGGGGACAGTGTGGCACTGTTCCACATCACTGTACCTCGGCTCTTGGGGTTTGTAGGAGCTGGGAGTCATTCCCAACTCGTAACTCTCCCTAACTCTTCCTATCTTGTGTTCTAAGACTATAGTGGCTGCCATAGTACCGTTCGTTCAAACCGACGCTGTGTCATCAATTCTTTATCAAATCGTGCAATCTAAATTGCTAATTGTAGACGACGTGAAGACGCTCCAGATCCAATTTGAATCAAGTCATTTGCAGCTGTGACCAGAACGCTATCAACGTTTGAAGCCGCTGTGCAGAAATCCGTCTGTGCTCTCTATCTTTCGTTTTAGGCACATTCAAGCCTATTGTGACTATAACAGGGAATGCGAATGCGGGGGGGAACGCGAATGCGGGGGGGAACGCGAATGCGGGGGGGGAACGCGACTGCGGGAGTGAACGCGAATGCGGGAGGGATCGCGAATGCGGGAGGGAACGCGAATGGGGGGGGGGGGGGGACGCGTATGCGGGAGGGTTGGCGAATGCAAGAGGGAACGCGTGAATGTGGGGGAGGCTGCAATTTCGAGTTTGCTAGAGCTTTGTACATTTTTTTTTTGCATGCTTGTAGTTTCGAGACAGAAAAATAAGTAGCTTGCTTGAATCAATACTAAACGTGAAGCACCACTTGAGTGCAACTCAGATTTTGATATTGCTCTGTACTATAGTCTGTTGCGCTCTCTGATTTTCTACCAAGTTTCCCTCGTAAACAATGCGTAAACGTAGTCCAACGACACAATGATCGTCGAAAATTCATACATTCGTCCGAAAGTGCTGGGGAGATTGTGCCATGTTGAGTTTGCTCGACGTTCGTACCTTAGTATGTTTCGTGCCTATATTTTCGAGACTGATTGTTCCTTTGCAAATATTGCGCTTTCTGGTTTTCGACTAGTTGTGCAGCACCAGACATAATTTGATGGTTTCGATCACAAAGTTTCGTCTGAAAACAAAATGGAATACGAAACGCTACCATCTCAGCATCCGGGGCTCGGGAATTATTCTAGGAAAACGCACTCTACAACCCATTGTTCCGAGACAATAATGCAACTCTAATAGATGGATCAGTCCAGAGAATGGTAGGAAGGGTAGGTAAGAAGGGATCAAAGTCAAGAGGAAAGTATAGGATAGGGAAAAGTAAAGAGAAATCAGCTTTGCAAACGGACGATCTTGCATATAAATAGAGGAAGAGACCCTGGAAAACAACGGGTGAAACAGATTTCCGGAAGTCATAGTAGCTCGGACTACTTCTTCAATTTAGCCAGCTTCTAGGCTCCACAATCTTGACGTTCGTCCAAGCATTTCCAAACATATTCGTTCCCCACGCGTCGTTCTCCATCTTGGCAGCGAACATTAGGTAGCCGATCTTGTTGCGCTTGGCATCCGTCGTGTTCTTCTTAGGTGTCTCAGTGTCTTCCGTGTCCGTGGCCTCTTCGCAGGTGGCTCCACTCCGAGAATCAAACCATCCGCCAGAGTGCTGATCGAACTTCGATCCACAATCTTCTTTTGGATCAGGGCAATGGCGGCCTGTGTCGCCTCCTCCGATCCATCAGCCCTTTACTTCTCGACGGTGAGCATTACGTTCCTCATCCACTTCATTTTTTTGTCGCTGGTGTCGTCCTTCACTCCCTTCTCGCAATACGAGAAAGTGGAGTAGAAAACTTTTTCGGAAGAAAGTTGGCGCAGAGTCTTTCGCTCCATCAAAAATGTCTCCTTCACCCAGTATTCCCATGCATCTGCGACCTTCTCAGAGTCCCGCCAGGGTTTAACGACAAGGTCGAAAATGCCTTCACTGGAGTGGTGACTTGTGGCTTCTCGGGCTTCGGAGCCTCGCCACCGGCTTCCACCTTTGTTGACGTGCCCGTCCCTCGACCGGCAGCCTGTCCGTCAGCGTTGCTCCCGGCATGCTCCTTCAGAGCAGCTAGCTCCTTTTTGAGCTGCTCGTTTTCAGCTGTCATCTTCGACAGACTCTCGTCGTGTTTAGCGACCTTGTTTTCCAGCTCGCCAATCTCGTGCTGCTGCTGACCGGCTTCTGTCCAGTAAAATTTGTTCTCTGCGAGGAGCTTCTGGTAATTTCGCGTTGTGTTCAGCTTGTAGATCGCATCCTGTGCAGAAACGGACGAGGGTTTTCAGACATACTCAGACATGTCAAAATTGTAGTGCCTATCAGAGAACTATCGTACTTACAGCGGCTGCTGAGCTGCCCCTAGCTTCACGAAGTTCAATGCCAGTCTTGTGCATGATTGCCACTTTGATGGCCCACTTCTAAAACAGTGGGTGCTGACAGAGCGGATTCATTTGCGTGTACGGGTGGCGCTGGCATTTGCATGGCCGTCGTGTGCCGTCGAAATTCTTGTCGTGCTCAGGGCAGTAGAACCATCACATGGCAAGGTCATGTGCCACGATGTCTCGCCCAGGGTCTTCAAGAGCCTCCAAAAAACTTCTGCCAGAGTGGTGCATCTGACCTGTCTTACATGTTCTGTTGTACTCGTCGACCTGAGATGTTAGGACAAACAGAATTTTGAACTCTACCACGCGATACAACATTAGAATAAGCACCACAAAGCAAGACTAACGAAAGGGTACCTTTGCCAAGTCAGCTTCGAGGCGCGGGAAGATGTACTTCTTGAAAAGCTCCTTCAACTCTTTCCACTCGACAGGGTCGTCAAGGACGGCGAGCGATCTGCCAATGTAATAATCACCCGGTTCCCCACCGAATCCGGCCATCATCAACACCGGCCAAAACGGTATTCCCACCACATATGGTTTTTGCATCTCGCCCTGCTCCCAGCCTCCGAGGGCGTTGATGTCGGGGTCGGGGCAGCGATCGTCACTCAGACCTTGAGCTCCGGACCGGCGAAACGCGTGGGTCTTTTTGCTCAACCGCCAGGGTGGTTGAACCGCTTCTTTCATGACCCAATTAATCCAGTCGTTGTGAGTAACGTACGGAAGCTCTTCCTGCAGTTGAGTCCTCCCATCTCCGCGCCTCCTCAATCCGAAAAAAGATGTGCTTCTTTGTCCTTTGGAGTGGGTCGCTGAAGTCCAGGGGCGGAACAAATTCCGTGCCAAAGCGCAACAGCACGAGGTCGTAAAGGAAATGAATCCACAGGAAAAGGCCACCCACACCGCAGAGCATGAAGTTGATGTGCCGGGCCAAGAATTGGTGGGTCAGATTGTTGGTCGAATTCGTCTTCGATTTTCGAGAGGCGAACACCACAACAGGAAGATCCTTTTGTCCTTTGGAGATGGCCGTGGTGCTACGCGTCTTGCGGACAAACATGTTGGCGA